CCGCACTTTTGGCTACCTTGTAAGCCAAACTCACAGTTAATCTATCATGCAACCTCTCCAGACTCAGAAGACCTCAGCCCCCTTGATGAAGTGGAAGATAAATGCGTGAGACCGATGAGCATGGGTGGATGCTTTTGTTCATATGCATCATCTTGAGTGTGCCCTCATCCGGTTGCTAGTTTACCTCGCCTCCACTTGAGCACGCCAAATGAATACAAGAGCACAGGAACGACAGGCATATTAGTGGCAGCAACCTTGTTGATTTCGGAAAGCTGGGATTCCCATTTTTTTTCGGAGACGCTGCTATACTTACTACGGAGCCTATTCACTTGTCGCACTTGCAATCAAAAACACAATTCGTTACTACACTTTCCACACCAAAATGGACAAACATCTTCAAAAAATAACTTTTCACAAAATAAATTCACTCAAAATAATCCCGTCCCACAAACATTTCAACGGTCACTCGTAATACAAATCAATCCCATGCTTCCAATTACCTCCCTTCAGACGCATCTACGTCTCATAAACCCTTAACTCCCGCAGTATTATCTGCAACAACATTAAAAAGTAACCATGTACTCTTAGCCACGGCCAAAGTGCAAATATAAACTAAATCTGGTACCCCCCCTCGTAGTAAAACTGCTCTTAGATAATGGCAGCCAAACTTCGTTCATCACTAATTCACTCGCTAATAAAATTGGATTTAAATCATACCCATCTATTTAAAAATATCAGGCATTTTAAATGAATGTAGCAATATTTCTCGTTCTGTTGATATTACAATAAAATCATTAAACTCAGACAAGCAATTTAAACTATCTTGTGCAATTGTACAAAATATAACACAACAACTTCCTCAGGTGACAATTAACTCCCATTCGTTGAATATACCAAGTTATTACTTAAAAAATCTAGCTGATACCACTTTTAATATACCCTCTGAAATAGATATTTTGGCCGGAGCAAATATACAGGGTGGCTCACGCTCAACGGGACGGAGCTTTATGGGAAAACGACCAAAGATATAACAAATTAATTTGGGAGGAATACGTAGGTTACAGACGGCTACAATTTAAAATTTGTTAGATGTATACAGGATGTCCCACATAAGAGAAAATATACAAAGTTATATTATTTTTATTGGAACACCCTGTTTTTTATTTTAGAATTAAAAACTACATCAAAAATAATGTTAGTTAACTAAAGGTTCCCTATTACTATTATTATTAGTTTTCGATTTATTTGAATTTTTAAGGAAAAAAAGTCTCCCAGAAATTAATTGTTTACTCTTGTTTGAATAATTTTTAATGAACTAATTTTTTTTCATTTATGTGGGACATCCTGTATACATCTAACAAATTTTAAATTGTAGCCGTCTGTAACCTACGTATTCCTCCCAAACGAATTTTTTATATCTTTGGTCGTTTTCCCATAAAGCTCCGTCCCGTTGAGCGTGAGCCACCCTGTATATTATTCCTTACTAAAGGGAGGTTACAAGACTTTAGGCAGAAATCTCTCAACCTTAGTCTAGGGTGGTTGCTGGCCGGGAATATACCCCATTACTTTTTACAAACAGACAATTCTCCCCAATACATTAAACATTCTTTTTTAACCATAAATAACACACAACAAACCTCTGATACGCACTCGCTGATCGAGAAATTTGGGAAGGGAATATGCTACCGTCTCTAATTTACATTAACTCTGTAGTCTGCCGTGTTGAACCATATGTACATAGAGTAACCCAATGCTTTAAATGCCTTAAATATGGACATGTAGTCAAACAATGTCGCAGCTCGAATATTTTGTGTATAAATTGTGGTAAAAATAAGGATGAATTGCATGTTTGCCGTGATCCTCAGGACAATTGTTGCATTTATTGTAAAACAAATACCCATAAATCTATTTCCAAATCGTGTCCGGCACATATTAAACAACAAGAAATTAAAAAAAAAGGCAGAAAAAAATTTAACTTTTTTGGAAGCCAAATCACTTAACACTAACATATGCAAATATAATTAAATCTAACAATTCGCTCAAAAACCGGTTAACATTTTTCACAACCGATTATTTCTAATCGGACTTCAAAAACCACTAATAATACAAATATAACGTTAACGTTAACGCTTCAACGCAAATTGACAGTGCAAATAAAAAACGAAAAGCTACATCACCAATTATAAATATAAATGAACCCCCGGTGTTCCCATATTGATTTGGCCCTGAAAACCCCATATCTTTGCCACCTAGAGAAGACGGTTTAGGTTTAGAAAAAGAAGAGAATTTCATACATGATTTCTTTACAATTTTCCAGAAGGTTATCAGTGAGGTAAAAACTTTTGACGAGCTTGCTTCCTTAGACATTAATCACATAAAAAAAATTGCGTTTACTCCTACCGAACTTATGGACGATAATGAACCTGATGAATACCAACGAACTAAATATTCTTCAGTGGAATGCACGTTCCGCTGTAGCTAATAAAAATAGTTTAAAAAAATCCTTATCAGAATTAGAAATCGATATTGCCCTATTATCCGAAACATGGTAAAACTAATACTTTTTACATTTTTTCTGGCTATTCATTAGTACGTCAAGATAGAATTGATGGCACCACGGGAGTTGCCATATTACTTAAAAATAACATAAAATTCAAAGAAATATCACTTAATGGAATTGCAAATGGTATGCAAGCTTGTGCGGCTCAAATTTTTCACAACAATTTAAATATCATTTCATTTCTGTATACTGCCCTCCAGATATTAGAATGTCTGCACAAAACTTCATCAATCTCTTTAACAATATCAATGGACTCACAGTAATCGGAGGGGATTTTAATGGGCACCATGAATCATGGGGTTCATATAAAATTAACCCATCAGGATCTAATATCGTTAACGCTTTAAACCAAACAGATGTAGTTTTATTAAACGATGGATCACCTACCAAAATATCTAGGACCAATAGTAAATCTGCAGTCGATCTTACATTAGTCACCCCAGATATTGCAAACAAAATCAACTGGTTGGTAACACCGGATACACTTGGCTCTGATCACTTTCCAATCTTAATTAAATTAGGCTCTGCGCAATCAAAATCTAACTTTTACTTTTTTGAGTTTATTTCAATTTTAATGTGGCAGTTATTGCAGTTTACTATGTTTAGTGACGGAAAAACTTCATTTCCAACAATATTTTGAATTTTGGTTTCATTTTTGACTGGCTCTTCATTTGAAACACCTCTTTTTCGTATTGTGAAGCTTCCGGTGCTGGTACTTGGTTGACCTTCAAGAATTTGAGCAGCTATTTCTGTTTTTTTAGAAATAGACTCCTCAATGTAGCCCTCAGCTACAGTTGAGGATTTCCACCCTCCGTGCCGTTTCAAAGTTAATATATCTGCGCCGGATTCTACTAGTAAGGTTGCAGAAGATTTGCGAAAGCAGTGTCCCGTGTATTCCATTGGGTTTTCAATATTTAAATATTTGGCAATATCACTTGGGATTTTGCCAAAAGTGTTTACACCAACAGGTTGAACGGAACATTTTCCGTCATAGTATCTAATAAAAAATCTATTGTGGCTTGTTGATTGGGGACGGAGGGATGCATATTTGCGATACATTTCCACAAAATTAAAGGATCTAATTTGTCCGCTTATTACAAATGATCGAGGTTTGTTGGTCTTGCTGTCGGGAATTTTTACTGTTATGATAGAATTCATGTTATTTATATCATTTAAAGTAAGTTTCTGTAACTCATCCCTGCGGCATGCTCCTGCAATCCTAAGTACTGCAACTATCTAAAAGAAACAAATACCTACGTATAAAGTTAAAAAAAGATTATTTTTATATTTTACCTTCATCATTAAATATTTACTGTCGGGAGCTTCAACTAAAAACTTATCAAGTTGCTCTCTTGAAAAAACTTTGGACTTTTTGGGGCGATACCCTACCGACTTCTTCTTTAAAAAAGGAATTAATTTTTGAAAATTTCGAATTTCCACATTATTGTTTATTAAAAGTGTAGCTTTTAGCATTGAGTACTCTGACCACAAAGTCGATGGCTTCAGTATTTCCGACTTTTCTTTTAAATATGCAAGTACTACGTTTTCTGTAATATTTCCAACAGATTTAGTCTCACACCATTCTGTGAACCGTTTATAACATACTTCATAATTTTTTTTTGATTTATTGGGTAGTAAATCTGCCGTTGCTTCATTAGCTCTTTCCACTAAATCTGGAGGAGTACAGAAACTGATAGTTTCTTCCTCACTATCCGAACTGAACATTTTTAATAACTTTACAACTTAATAAATGTTTAAACTATTAATTTGACACACACAGAGACAAATACGCAGATGTAACTGGATGTAACACGAAAATATTCTGACAGTTCAGGGTATTTACAAAATAATTCATAGGTAACTATGAAAATTAAGAAATATTTGCATTAATTAAAATTAGAGTAAAAATCTTTCAATTCTGTATTTTATTTCATTCCTATCTAACAAGCGAATTTGGTATTAACAAAAGGGTAGATAAAATATATATTTCTACTTTTTGAAATTTAATCACAAATTCCAGTAATAAAGTGACTGTATATATTTTGGTTTACGAAACGTTTCTTTAAAACCCATGATGGCCTAACGGCTAAGATGTTTACCACCCACCGGAGAAGTTCGGGTTCGATTCCCGGCGCTGTTTTTTATTTTTTTCCAAAAAATTGACTGAAAATTCGAAGTGTTTTTTGCACTAGTGCAAAAAATAAGTTGAAGTTACTTTTTTGCACTAGTGCACAAAAGTAAGCTACTTTTTGCACTAGTGCAAAAAATTAAACTTTTGGCACAGTATATAGAGTAAAAAATAGTCACTTTTTCCACGATCGTAGAAAAAAATATTTGGCTACAAGTTTGTAATCTTTAATAAAGCCCATGTATTATTGTATAGATTTTGTACAGTTACTTGGTATGATTCTTAAAAATATGATTTTTTTTTTAATTCTAGATCTCTCTTTCAATCACACAGAACTTGATTTTACATACATTGTATCTATGTCTGCTGGATACGGCCTCCTTTACTCATATTTTTTCAAAGTTAATAAAGCTGTACAGCTTTATATAGGACTATCCGATTTTAAAAAATTCGGAAAACCCAAAAACTTTGATGAAACCAACAAAAAGTGGAATAAGTATTCAATAATGCACTATTTGTACTTACAGTCGATTTGCATATTCATTTTGCTGGGTTCCAATGTATTTAAAGGAAAATCCTGCCGTGATGAAAATGAAAAAAAAAACATACACGAAGTTTGCGGGTTATTTACATACACGTGGTTGCCTTTTAACATTGATTTTTTTCCTGTGAAACAACTGTACCTTGTTTTGCAACTGTTCGGCGTTAATTATGTTTATATGGTAGCTGGATTGGCTTCTTGGATGGTTGTGGAAACAGTGGAGCATTTGGCTACAAGGATAAGACATGTTTCGTTTTTATTTACACAAGCTTTGGAACAAAAAAATCTTAGAAAGAAAAGGCAGATGTTTAACCATGCTGTGCAATATCATGTATTTGTATTTGGGTAAGGAATAATTATTAAAACTTTTTTTTATTGGGCTCTTCTGCCGGTATTACTGTAGCCACTGAAGATGTTTTCCAATCTGCACTTCCAGTAATCGAATCAAATTACCTTTCTAGCACGTGTTTGTATTTCCAAATTATTTGTTTATATCTGACTGTGCTAGTCTACTTCCTTTTATAGCAGTATTCTTGCAACCCTATATGATTATAAGAACTAGATTTTAAACAAATACTGTAAGGGGTTTTCTCGCCACAGAGAAAACGGTTCCTTACGAATGACGCTGGTTACGGGCGGTTCTCGAGCGCCAGATTTTTGATGATCGTTTACTCCACAAACTTTCGAAACGGCGTCGAAAGTACTCGGGTAGCTACAGATGGAGATTCCAGGGGTCAAAGGTCACTTAGACACAGGTAATAGTAGGCCACAAGTAACGGGCTTTAATCGTTGCTTGGGCTCGTACAGAATTTATCACTAGCTGAAATATAAGGGAGAAATAAAGTAGGGAATTATTAACCAGTAATACGGCAGGTTAACATTGACACATATATTGTGAATTAATATTTACAACAAAAAAAAAAGAAATTAAATATTTCAACGCCCACCCCAGTTGTGGTGGTAGTCAATATAACCCTGAATAATAAAAAAAGAAACAAAACGGACGGTATTGATTCGCGACTAGTCTCAATCAGACGTCAAAATTAAATTAAAATAAAATGTATGTTTCGGTCGCAGAGGAAAAAAATTATTAACTTGGCTATTTACTCGATAATTAACTGTTTAACCACGGTATCGGGAATTAAACTAAAATGTAGGTATTTTGCTATTTAGGTGAGGAAAAATTAGCTAAACGGTCGAAGAGAGTGCGAGGAGACAGGGACGCGAAAGAATTACTTATAGTAAATACACGGAAATAAAATAAAAATAAATTTATACCCGGGGTAGCCTATTATCCCAGAATAAGCTGATGGTCATCACGAGCCCGCTCAGATAGGGTAATAAAGCTATTTTTGATTTCTAAAACTTGCAGTTTGCACGAAAAAAAAAATGAAGCATATAAAGGGGAAAAGAAAACTAACGCGGATAGCACCTAATCCAAGAATGAACTGATCGTCATCACGAGCCCGTTCAGACAGGGACAGGATACTATTTAAAGTTATTTAAATTGACGGTAAAAGAGGAAAGCAAATTATTATCGGAGGAAAGAAAATTACTAACGCGGATAGTACCTACTCCAAGAGTAAACTTATCGTCATCACGATCCCGTTCAAACAGGACAGGATACTATTTAAAATTATTTAAAATTTGCGGTTTACAGATTAACTAAAAAAAAAATATAACGCTGATAGCACGTACTCCACGGGTGAACTGATCATCACGAGCCCGTTCAGACAAGGACAGGATGCTATTTATGATTATTCAAATATACGGTAAAAGAATAAAAAAACTAATAAAAGAGGGAAAACGTCTCCTCGAAAACTCCGTTTAAAAATATTCCCAACTTAATTACAACGCGGCACTTACTAAACAAAAGTATTTATCAATAAAATCAAATTTAATTCCCGATTTAACCTATCAAAAGAAAAAAATAATTTCTTAATACAGACTAACAATCAAAAGTCTAAATTCCTTGTTTTACAATATTACAGAATTAAATCCTATCATTTATTATTTAATTCAAATTCTATCCCTTTTTAAAGAAACGGTATGATATTTGTCAAGAAATAAATTAAAATGTTTATTACTGAAATCAAATTAAATCTTTTATCTAAACATTATCTATAAAAAAAAACGGTAATATTTTTACCAAGAAACAAATTCTAATATTTATTATTTAAATCAAATTAAATCTTTTAACTGAACACTATCTATAAAAAAAAGAAACGGTATCATTTGTCAAGAAACAAATTCTATTATTTATTAATGAAATCAAATTAATTTTTTTAACTAAACACTATCTGAAAATGTTCCTATTCCTACTAGCTAATTCGGTTTTTAAAATGAAATACGGAGTCAATATCAAACGTAAAAAGCGGAACAAGGTTTTTTAGCTAACGAATTTGTAAATACACGGAATAAGGAAAAAATATCGACGGTGATTTGATTTCTAGTGCGGCTTATTAAACTCGACTGCTGGCAACCAAAAAAAATCTGATGTGTCCAACACATGACTTTCCCATCTAGTTTTTATAGGCTTTTTCCGGTTATTTTGTACAACCTATTGCAGCATCTCTATAAATGTTTAGAGGATAAACTAAATATATACATTGTACACATACAAGTTAAGTTATTTTAGTATTAAAACTTATTTTTAAAAACAAAACTTTATTTTTATTGTACAACGGAATAGTGGTTTACTCGACAGAGGTTAAAGCAATAATGAATCTAATGTTAACAAGAATTATCTACATGAAATATGATATCTGTACAACGTCACTATTATTTATGTGATATGGCAAAATATCTTTATATAACTCCTCCCTTCTTAAGCGAAAACAACACGGATTTGGGGTTGTTTTCTGGTTTTTCTTCTTCGGGTTGTTTTTTTGTTTTTCTTATGTAGTACCATGGTATACCAACGGGAAGTACAATTAGGATTAAAATTACCAAATTGAGTAAATTCCAAACGGCTGGATGGACTTGCTGAATACTCGGCGAGGTTAATCTGGATTGGAGTTGCATTTCTTTAATAGATTGGAGGTCAATTGCATGCAGCTGTATGGGTTCTTCTGTATTTCCGGAGTTTTTTCTAAGATTCCACTCGAATTTGGGCAGTATAAGTGGATTTGCATTGATTATTTCTTCACTGCTTCGGAAGGTAGAATTTTCTGTACGAATTTCACAGCCTTTGGGTATTTTTAGTAAGGTGTTATGTTTTATTATCAGGATTCTCTTTTTTTCGCAATTTGATTCTATTTTGATCGGTGTATTGGCAGGCAAAACGAGAATAAATTGGTCATTAATTTCTTCAATTATATTGTGAGTTAGGATTGCGGGACTGGTATGGCATCTTGGTTCTTCGGCTTTGATAAGAGGAATGATACAACTTTCATCCGTTATTTCTTCATGGTTTTGGCATAGATAGACGTCGTTTAATTTTGGACAGGGAGTTTCTTCGTATTGGTGACTTGTTGTACCGAGTATTAGGTAGGTTTTGTCAGGAATTATTTTGGACTTTTGGTAAGGTAGGCCAATTAGGTGAAATGTTTGGTAGTTATCATTTATTAAAATAGGTAAATGTATGGCAAAAATTATATTTGAGTTTTTCATTATTACTTGAATGCCTGTTAATTGATAATAGTAAAATGGATTTTCAAATCGAAGAATTTTGTTTTCTCCATAGAGAGATGCTAAGTGATTTACTAATTTTAACAATTCATCAACTGAAACGATTGATGTATGCAAGGTTCCTGAATGAGCAAACATAATTGCGTTTTCTAAATTATCTAGGAAATTTATTAAATTTTGACAGTTTAAAATTATTTGATTTAATGCATTTGTGAAAGTTATGTAGTTATAAATATCTTCAGTGTAGTTATTTAGTTTTGTAGACAATTCTCTTAATTTGTTTCTATTTTTAGGAGTTAAATTATTTAACTTAGTAGTAGTAGTTTTAAGTAAGTATTTAGCATGTACGAATATATCCTTAATAATAGGTTCATTATATCCTAAACTAGTAGTATTAAGTAACGTTTCTAATCCATAATAGAAATAATTAATATTTCGTAATTGTGCAATCAAGGATTTTGTCTCTATGAAATGTAAGAATGTATGTTTAGTTTCTATTACTTTCGTCTTTCCTAATTCAAGGGGTAATAGGGGTGTATCAAGTTCATGTATTTCAATATCGCAGATTACAAGAACAGGGATGAAGGTTAGGAGGAATATTATAATGATTTTGGGCGTTGTTCTTTTGTTCATGGTCCTGAAAAAGTTAATTTTTTTTGTCGGTTTTTTAACTATTGATTTATGTATTTGTTTGTTTTTGTCTAATAGTATTTTGGTACCTAAATCGCGTTTAACTTTTGATATGGTATGGCGAGGTTTGATTTTATTTCTTTTAGCTTCTCGATTTTTTATGAATATTGTTTGGTTATCTTCGTAGTTAACGGGATTTTCACGGGTTTCGTTGCGTTTATTAATAATTTTTTCTTTTTGATTTAATGTCCTCTCAGCAACAATAAAAACTCACATTTTATACCCATAACCTCAAGGGTACCTTAAGGGTCACATCTAGGTCCTTTACTTTTTAGCATATTTACATATGATATAACGACATGCTTTAAAAATTCTCAATGTCTGTTATATGCCGACGATCTAAAACTATTTAAAATTATTGAAAGTAGAAGAGATTGTGAGTTGTTGCAAGAAGACATAGCTCGCTTTTATGAATATTGTGGGAGAAATAGTCTGGTTTTAAATATTGATAAATGTAATAAAATAACTTTTTCGCGATTGTCGTCCAATATCCAGTGGAATTACTTCATCCAGAATAATATTATCAGTGAAGTTTATAGTATCAAAGATCTTGGAATTACCTTCGATTCTAAGTTAAAATTTGACATTCATGTAGAAAATATTGTCTAAAAATCTTTAAGAACCTTAGGGTTTATTCTCAGAAATACAACAAAAATTTCTAATGCGAAGTCTATTTTAATATTATATAATTCAATGGTCAGAAGCACTCTTGAATATGGGTCAACTTTATGGTCACCTTGTTATTATAAATACATCAGTCGGATAGAAGGAGTTCACAGAAAACTAATAAAACATTTAAATTACCGGTTTATTAGAAATATAATTCTTGAATCATATGATTTTAGCTTACGACATTACAAAATAAATAAACTTGTTTCAAGGAGAGTTGTTGCGCATATTATATTTCTTTACAAAATCATAAACAACAAAATTATCTCTGTGTATGCACTGGAAAACTTAAACTTTTGCGCGAAAAATCAAACATCTCGCTCAACTAATCTTTTTTATTATAACTCAGCGATAAC